ATAAATTTTCCCCTTTTCGCCTGACCTGACCTTTCTCCGTTGTCAAATTTCGGAATCGGTGGCAACAGCGACTTAACTGGGTCTGGCTCCCGAAACACCTTATGTGAAGCCTCGCCTCAGTTACTGACTTTCCCTTTCACATGTTAACAAGAGCCTGAGGTAAGAGGTGCAAAACCGCCTCAAAGGATCATGGGCCGAGCTCACCACAGCCGCTACGAGAAGCATTCCCCGAAGAAGGTCGAAGCCCTGTTTCAGATAACCCTCAGAACCCATCTGGCATCGTTCAGCGAAAAGAATTCCTCATTGACACATATGGCGTGAGCCCTAGCCATTCAGTCAAGGCTCCCAAAGGTAGACTGCAGAGGAAGGAAAGAAAGTCGACGACTAAACCCTCTCTCCATAATGACGATCGCCATACACGTAGCCTCAGAGTAGCCAAAAGAGGTGTGGCGCTTGACTGTAACATTTTAACAAGTAGATACACTGTGAGTATGATAAAGTCACAATCATTCATGGCGCCCCATAAACTAACACGGTTAACTGGTTCAGTAGACATTAGCCGGTCGTAGGCCCGAGTAAACAGGTAAGGTTGGGCATACGGCTACGCCGTAAGGCAAATCCAACCGCCAAAAAACTTCAAAGCATAGAAAAATACAAAACCTAGAAACCAAATTCTTCCATACAGGAACGGGAGAAGCGAAAGGACGCCAGTTGGCAAAGCCTTCCGGAGGCCAGTCAGCAAATATGACTTCTCTCGATAAAAGCGAAAGTAAAGGTGCGGACATCGAATGTCCGCACTATGTTTGAACCCAGCAAGGCGACCCAGATTCCAAACAAAATCAGAATGTATCGCACTTAAGCGAAAGCAGTTAGCGAAAGCATATGGAATGCGAGTGTACTCCACAAAACCTCAACTAGAGAATGAAAACCTAAATCCAAAATGTCAAGCAGACTACAAAAACGAGTATACTAAAGAAATGGATATCCGGATATACAGAAGAGCGCAGAAGGATTTCATGCTGCGGGAAAAAATACCCTCGTGCAGGATCATAACGGCAAGGTTCAACTCAAAAGGAAGTAAAGTCACAATCCTACAATGCTACGCACTTACAAATAATGCATAGCAAGAGAAGAAGAAGGAATTCTATAGACAACTGCGATCACCACCGGACAAGACCTCAGTTGGTGACGTCGAAGCTCTAACGGGTGACATAAATGCCAAACTGGGAGCTCAGAAGCTTTCATTTCTTCCTCACATCATCTCCATGTCACCCTAGGACGTCCAACTCGTCATTTCCTACTTGGATTCCACTCGAGGTCCTAGCCTGGTGCGTGATGTCCCCAAGCGGTCTTCTCGGTGTATGTTTAATCCATCCCCACTTTCTTCTGCATATTTGTTGAGGGATGGGTTCTTGGTTGGTTCATTGGCGGGCCAGAGTTTCTTTCTGCTTATTCTTATTATTCTGGCCATGTGATCTTCAGTATCGAGTGAGCGTAGACGACAGCTGTTGATGAATGACTGTAGTTTGTTGGAAATGCTTTTCGTAACGCGCCAGGTCTCTCAACCATCACATGGAGGCACTGACTTGACTAACTTAGTGTTCAAAATCCCGATCATCTTCTCCATGCTGAGCTGAGTGCAGTAGATCTCCACACTGATTTCAGGGTAATGAAGACCTGTCTTGCTGTCTTTCCGATCCCGGCTTTGACGTCCTCATCTATGTCGCCGCGGCTGCCGCCTGTAGTTGAAACGATGCTGTCTGCCGTGGTAGGTGAAAGAGGCTACTTCCTTTAAGTTTTTCCCGTTTATGATGATTGGTGTTTGTTGTTGTTGTTGCTGCTGTTGTTGGTTGCGTGTCTTCATCACATCTGTCTTCCCTACATTCACCTGAAGAAAGCTACGTCTTCGCTGCCTCGCCTCTTCTATCTACTTGTTGGTTTTCGCCGGTCCAGCCAGCGTAAGCCCCTCTTCTCCCTCCTCACAGTTTGTTGCGTGATCCAGACCACCACAACCAAGAAGATCATGGATCATAGTAGGCAGCCTTGCTTTACTCCCATCTTCACTTCGAAAGCATCACTGAGCTTTCCATTGTGGCTCACTCGGCATGTGGCGTCACCATATGGCTGTTGAATGAGGTTGATAAAGGTTTGTGACACTAAAACCGTAGTGCTGAAGCAGTTGCCAAATCACTTCTCGGTCGACGCTGTCAAAGGCCTTTTCAAAGTCGATGGAGTTAATGTAAAGTGTTGACTGCTATTCTATACTCCGTTCTATGATGATGCGTAGCGTAGCGTAGAAATTTGATCCGCACATGATTTGTTCTTCTTGAAGCTGACCAGTCAGTTCCGGTCGTAACTTTGAATCGAGAGCATTTTTTGGTCTCCCTAGGATAGTGCAGCTTATTATTTTGCTAAGGGTAAACAGGAGCATGATTCGGCGCTAGTTCTTCCAAAGACTTAGGTCACCCTTCTTCGGGAGTTTGACAAGGTAACCCTTCTTCCATTTAATCTGCAGGTACCTTTCCTTCCTTCCTTTCTTCCAAACCCTCTGCAGTAGTGATATGAGCATGTTAGTTGTTGTCTCGTCGTCTGTTTTCGGTGCTTTTGGCAGAATTCCATCTGGTGCTGCTACTTTCCCGGCTTTCAGTAACTTTATAGCATTCAGGACTTCTGATTTTGTCAGAGTGATTTTGTTCACTGGCAATTCTGTGTCTGGGCTGCTGGTGGTGTTTCTGGACGAGTTTCAGGCGGTGGTCGATTCAAGTTTTTTGATGTGGTCAGTTATGATGACATTTATATTCTTTAGTTCCAAATTCGCATGGTAGAAGTTTCACTCGCTCTACATCTTTGATGTTTGTCAAGTCAAATTTAAATACCTTTTGATTTTCAGCAGGAGGTTGGAGTGTTTCAGGTAGGATTCATCCTTCAGTTCATCTGAATTCTAGTCATCAAGTGTGTGGATGGAGATTGGAAAGAAGCAATGGTAACTTTGATCAGTCATTCTAGTCCTTACTGTGTCGTGTAGTTGAACAACATACAGGTGATTATTGATTGGGTTTCCACTGAATAGTGCTCTTTCTTCCCATGAACGAAACGCCATACCTGAAGTCATGTCAATCCTGAATTATCTTTGTAGTGGAATGGAAATCACATTTAACGATATCATTCTTTCGTGCATCACTGACAAGAAGAGATGATGAATCCCTTAACAGATACATCGAAAGTCTACATGGAATAAACAATTTACCAATATGAACACCTAAATTATTGTTAACCGCAAAAGAGATTAAATCAATTATCTTTGGTCTCGAGTCTGGAAATTTTATACATCTTATACATTGGATGAACTACAATTTATTAGGTCTGTGTTCATCAGAAATGGATATCCAGAAAAATTCGTTGGTAAAAATATGCGTGGGAAAATCATCTCTGAAACTTATACCTGGGTAGATGAAAAAACTTTTCGCATTCGAAATTCAATAGTGATGCAGCTAATGATAATCTGAGGCGTAAATTAATGAAAGCTTTCGAGAAAACATTCTATACCGTAACCCTACGATTCGCCTATCCTAGTAGTCCAATGGTAAGAACCTGTGCAAAGGATAAACTACTACTGCTATTTGTTTCAGTGTACACATATTTGTTCAGTTGATCTTTTGAAGCTAGGTTTGAAGACAAGTCCAATGGAGCAGCAGATGTTGTCTATTGAGGAAATGATAAAAATACTAAACCTTGAAATTTGGTGCCATTTGCAATCAATTTCTTATTCTCCTCATCTCCTGCTCTTTGTACTTCTATCGAATACTAGATTGTTATCACTGTCGACGTTGCTTCACTTACTACTTATATAATATATTTTTCTTAGTAGTTCCCACTTCAGTTGCATAGGACGTTTACATGCCAGTCGACGTTAACAATTTCTGATATGGCTAAGTAAAGGCGAATTTCGACCCATTAAAAGTTCTACGCCACAGCATTTAGTTGAAAGTCAACACCCAATTCTAGAGGATCCATTTCGTATATTTTGCATAATTCAGATGTTAATAAACGTATATTTTGAACTGCTGAAGCAGTACGTAAGTGGAAGACAGAGTCGCATGTTCAAAAGTAAGCTTTCCATTCTGTCTTCTTATTCATTAAAATTAACATTGTAAATCGTGAAACCAAACTAACTCCTTTGGTCTTTTTATCTTGATTGCTCAAAATTTATTACTTAAGTTCTCAATTCACAGACCAAATTCCTGTCGCGAACACTACCATCATCAGTAACAGTTATGTAGTCATTGGTTAGGATTTTTCATCTTTTGATTTTAATTAATGCTTACTTTTCAACGCTTAGTTATCGACAGTGAGTGAAGCTCGAAAGGTAGTGTTACCCGTAAACTGATAACAAATTTTTTAGACTCATCAAAAATACTGACTCAAAAACGTGGTAAACGAAACCTTTGTCGTGAAATATGTGTCAGTGGCCAATTAACAATGGAGCTTACTGAGATTGTGGTTGGAACGCTGTGAATGGAGACGAACTCGTCTTCAACTGCAGTTCATTTTTCCTTCAATGTTAGCTGGAATTGTTTCACTTCATATAATACCTGACGATACTATTAAGAGAAAGCCTTTATGGTCTGTTTCCAGAAAACCTTAAAGGTAGAGCTTAGGTGTCACGTGTTAGGTTGAGTGTGATTCTTGCTTGGGATATGAGACTTGGAAACATTTCATTCTGAGTGAATCCTGCTGAAGCGTCCGGCATCCTGTTGTGGTAATCATCCAAAAGTATTTTGTCCAACAAATTTTATGATCATTAGGTGCATAACTAGTGTATCTTACTTGAGCTTTAAAACCTAGATGACACTGCACCAGTCGAGCCCAAACTTGCGACTCTACTGATTATACTCGTGTCAACCTGATTCCTTGATTCAGTTACCATTCACCTCAACTAGTCAAAAGCCCTCGCAGTAGTTTTCCTTAAGAAAAGTTACTATATTGCTAAAACAACGCTACTCATACGTACACGAACTATAATAGCGTGATAGGGTTATCTTTGAGGATCTAATATCACGGATTCTGCTCGACTTTAACACAGGAACGATCATGGAGATGACCGTGTTTACTTCCAAAAATGTCAGGATCGTTCTTCTGTGTATAGGTTATCTGAACAATTTGAAGTATGCAGGCAACATATTCTGATGTTTTTGTGTAGTGAAACCACCGACTCGTTGACGTTTGTTGTTAGGTTCCAATTTTTAAGTCCCATTTTTATTGATTTATTAGATTTGTCACACAGTGTAAGCATGGATGGTTAGTTATTGATACTGCATTGCTTGGTGAACTTTGATTACTTGTTCATATATTGTACTTATCGAGTCACTACCTATCTGATCCTGCGAAGTAGTAGTTAGAAGAGCTCAGAGGTTTTAAGACAGATCAATGGTCTGAAGTCATTAGACGGTGATCTGAGTCTTATGTAGATGTATAAACCTGGTTGGTTGGTTTTAGATGTTATAATTCAGTATTCTAGAATTTTAGCTTGCATTTCTCAAAACCTTATATTTTTGTGCTGATATATTTTCTCTCCATCTTAACAGCTTTCTCGTTATTCTCTATCGGTAGGCAGTGTGGTAATCCTATACAGTTATCCTTTTTGCGCATAATTTTATACTTTAACTAGTATAAATTGTATTGTTGTTCTCCACAAAGTTGCTGTATTTTAGCTAATTAGTACCACTGTTTGAATACAATCGTCATGACTAGTAAACTAGTACTCACTAACATATTTAACATAAATTCAGTTAAAATAGCCACCAAAATGCACACAACATTTAATAGTATAACGATGTTAAAGGAAAAGAGAAAAAACGATTAAAAAAAGGAAGCAACTTTATAAATCTAGTTCATGTAGCTTTCTATGCAATCAGTGATCGAAGACATAGGGAAACCATAAGATGAGTGCCAAAATCGCACGATCTTTTGGACCCGACTCAGCGATCTGTGGTGCACCATTAGGTGTTAGCGTAGCACAATTTCCCTCAATCTCAAGATTTGACGTCACAAAATGGACTACCTATGCTTTCGATAGTCGCTTTCGGAGTCAGCAGACAAAGTGTATACAAGCTTCTGGAATATCATAAACCAGGCTCCGAAACCAGTGGTTCAAGATAACCGCTTATTAAGTGTCGATTTCCATTAGATCTTAATGAACCTCAGAATTGTGGAGCTGTGGCTCAGTTGTTTGGGGAGATGCCCGTAAACCATTGGGTCATTGGTTGGAGCCCGCTGCACCTACCGAGGTTCGAGCAGTCAGGTAGTATCACTAGCCCTCGCACAATAGGTGTGGCTCATTGCCTACTCTATGGATGTGTACAGGGTGGCTGGGTGCGTTTCGTTCTTTCGTTCGTACCTCATAATTACTTTCAAGATGTTACCACTGAAGGAGGAATTCTTCAGAGACAGTGCCAATCAAGCACAGTCGTTTAACATCCTTAACTTGAATAGACCAGGTTTCACTAACGTAAAATAAAGTTTCTCAACTTATTATAGTCAGACTGGTGTTTCAACTATGACAAAGGTAGTTCATATCGATATGTGCTGTGTTGGCTCTCATTATGCGTATGTTGTTGATGTCATTCGCGACACGTCCACCGGCCATCATAAAATTATTCAGATGCACAAACTTCTTGACTTCTTCCACCCATTCACTGCTGAGGGCGTGTATGCTCAGGTTTACACCACTGTTAAAAATTGTAAAATTGTATTCACTGAAATCATATTTAGATTCTCATGCTTGTCTTGTTTCTTTCCTATCCGGCTTAGTATCTATTTGACATTAACAGGATGTGTCCCAAAAGGAAATTTATGTTCTTATACAAACCGTACTTAATTTTTTTTCATTTCATAGTTGTTCGAGCATTGTCTGGCCATACATCAGCCATCAAAACCCTAGACTTTCATCCATACGGTAATTTTGTGGCATCTGGTTCTATGGACACCTTAGTAAAGGTGAGTTAATTTAATCTTCAGCTGTCAATTTGAAGTGTGAACTCTATACAAAAAATATATTTACCATCATTTCCTCGTAATTCTACAGTGATGCGAATATGCATTGAGTTTACTTCTAGATAACTGATTGAGTGTGATGGTTTAAGGAGTATACCAGATATATTATATTATCAACATCAATCAAGATTTCGGCGTGTTGAATGAGTGATGTCCTAATAATCTAGTCGTAAGCATATTTTTATTGCTCACGTTGTTGTTAAATGGAGTAGTATCACGTTTCGTGATGTGTCAGCATGTGTTGTTAGATAAATTCCATTTTCATATGTGAATGAGAAAGTCACTTTCTGTTCGGATGTGACGCTAAAATAGTTAGATGTCCATGCAATACTGAGACGTGATTTGTCCTCATTTCTCTCCGTTACCTATCTTGAATTGCTAGTTTATGATACCTTTTACGATTGGACTGCAGCAAGGTTTGTAAGTGAAATATTCCAGGCGAAAATAATATAATGCTTGGATGGTATTGAGTAAAGCTAGAGATGCACCTGTTTCTTTCAAGACTACATTTAAGTGGAAAATATAAGGAGATTGGGATTCTCATGCTGCTGTTTGAAACGAACACTACCGGCTCCAAAAAAGTTAGGGTGTTTTTGAACTACTATCGCGCCAGTTAAGCGTGTTAATCGTTTTCATAAGTATTGGTCAATAAAATCTTTAGTAAGAAAGGCATATTTTAAATATGCTTACTCAACCAACGACAAAAGAGTTGTCGTACAGTAATGGAAAAGATTTGTAACTTAGAATGAAGATGATGGAGGTTTGGTGTTCTTTGAGCTTTATAATTTTTTGTGGACGTTTTATCACCAGGCTTGGTAACATCCACTTCACTAACTTTATCACAAAATGAAGCATATTCAAATGTTTTACGAATGATTGGGTAGTGTCATCACTGACATTGAGTGTTGTTCGATCGTAAGTTGGGAAAGAGATTTTTGTCACACTTTGACCTTTTTGACCGTGAGTTTCACTCGGTCACTCTGGTAGAGAATTTTTGTTTGAGTGAGGTTGTGCGATTTGTTACTTTCATATTGCTTCAGTATTGATTTATTTGACCAGTTTGCCCTTGGTTCATAGAAGGCTGTATTTCTTCTCAAGTAGATTATAGGTTGCATCTATATCCACGTGTCTATTGACTGACTTCCCGTCATGCTTCTAGAAACTCTCCTGCAGCTTTCAAACCTGTTCTTCGAAGGATTTCCGTATTCTTTCAGTTAAATTTTTAGTCGTGATTGTTTGCGTGCATTGAAACCAAGGAGGTTGTCATGTTGCTTTGCTGCTAGTTGATGTTCTTGAATTCTCTGAGAAATCCGATAACTAAACTAACCAACGTAGTATCATTATAAGAGTGAGTTAATAGAATCCTAGCGTGTTTAGAAAATCAAAAACAAGATTCTTCTGAACGTTTCGCTGTGTATGTCACAACTGCTTCAGCAGCATAACAACGTAGTGTTGTGGAGAATCTTTGCAGTTGACTTTCAGATTTTATTTTTCCCATCTTCCTTCGGCAACAGATCCCTAGGCTTGCATGATATGCTCTGTACTGATTTCAGTGGCTTGTGTTCCACTCCACTGCCTAACCGGACGATGCAATATTGGTTGACCGTTTCTGAGACATCCTTTATGCAGGGTTGAGTAATGGTTGTATAGGTTTAAGGTGATTCCACTGTCCTCTATCCTACCGGTAAAAAGTTTTCGATAAAGTCCTGTGGATAATCGTTGGCTCTAAACACTTTGTACAAGTATTTTTCTTCCACTTTCCGTATTGCTTCAGTGCTACAATGTTTTTTGTCTCTTAGGAGTATTGTTTGTACTCCGTATTTTTTATTGACTGTAGGACGATTGCTGTCGTGATTCATAGTTTGATTTGTGTATGGTTTTCCTACTCACCTGAGTTCGCGACGCCCTATCGTGCGGTCTGCTGATGTCTAGGAACGGAGTCTCATTGTTGTCTTCCTTCTACCTTATAAAGTCAATTCCTTTAAATGTTTGGTTGGTTAGTTTAAAAATTTCTTTTATTTCATTTTCCTTGAGAATTACGAGGGTATCTTCAACGTATCGAGTCCACATTTTCGTTTTGATAACAGAGACAACTATTGACTCTGGCTTCTGCATCATTGCTTCAGCAATCAGTCCTGACATTGGTGCTCCCATGGGTGTCCCTTTCGTCTTATAAATCTTCCCATTGAACTGTAAGTAGGTCATAGTGTATATGTCGACCTGCTCTATTAAGTCCCGACGCCCGACAATAGCTGTATTTTTCGACCGGAAGGCGGCATTTGACTCTGTTGATCGAGAAGTCTTATGGCAATATCTCTCACTGAAAGGCGTGCTGAGTAAGTACACCACCTTTTCGAAGGCTCTCTACTCGAACACTTGTGGGCGTGTTAGAGCCTATGGTGAGATATCCAGGTAGCTATGCTCATCGAGTGGTGTCCGTCAAGGCTGCCCACTCACTCCATTCTTATTCAATTTCGTCATAGATATTCTTATGGAGGTCCCCCCTCTCGTTACCGTGTTACACAAACGTTGACCTAATAACACGAGAACTTTTGTTAGACTGAGAATATGCAAATGACATTGTCCTGTTCAGTGAAGACGCTGACAAGATGCAGAGTCTTCTGAACACTCTGAGTAGCAATTTGAGAATGTTTGGGATGCGTTTTCGACCACCCAAATGCAGATTGTTGCTCCACGATTGGTCTTCAACAGTGCCTCGGTTAACAATAGAGAGTGTAGTGATTGAGTGTGTCGACCACTTCACTTACCTGGGAAGTAGGATCAGCCCTAGTGCATTCATTCATTGATCACTGGCCGATGAAATCTCTGCACGGATACAAAAGGCTCGATTGGCTTTTGCCAACTTACTCCACCTGTGGTGCCGCCGTGATTTCCGATTATCTATTAAGGGTAGCATGTACTGCACAGCACTCCGCTCTGTTCTACTGTATGGCTGTGAAACATGGCCATTGAAAGTGGAAGACATGAGAAGGCTTCAGGTGTTTGACCACCGTTACCTTCGTGATATAATATAGGCCCTATTCCGTGGTGTCACCATGTGAGTAATGCAGAAGTCAGGTATAGAGCTTTGGGGAGAAGAGGTAAATCTGTTGACAAGGTTGTGAACCTTCATTGACTGAGATGATTGGGACATGTGTTACATATACCTAGTCACCGATTGCCTCGTCAGACAATGTTGGCTGAAGTTGGTTCAGCCTGGAAAACGGATCGAGTCGGCCAGACTAAAACATGGCATCCATGCATGAAATCTTTGACTGTTGGTTTGAGCCATGTGTTGGGGCGATGCAAACTAGGTGGTTGGAATCCATGGGACAAGAGGAACCAGTGATTGGAGACTCTAGGTGATCTGGCTCAGAATCGACGTCAGTGGCGCAGATGTATACACACATTATCCTCATCTCAACGATGCTATGCCGAATCTCACCATTTTCTCACTCTTCCTTTCTTTCTTCTCGTACTTTATATTTCTTTTGACTGAGTTTTCTTACCTTCACCTTTCACCTCACTACCCTTCTACTTGATGTACTGATATGAGATGTGGCAACTCGGACCGTTACGCAGTAATGCCTGGTCCTATGTTGATATTGATGATGATAATGATGATGCTCCATTATGTTTAGAACATTGAGTGCTGTACATTCTGAAAAATTTTGATTGTTATTCAGAAGAATATACACTGTCTCCTTGGCTAGATTTGGGTCGATTGAAGTGAGGAGTGAAATCCCATCAAAGGATAACCATCTTTTTAGTACACTATCTTGAAATCTTTTATTCTGTTCAAAAATTCGGTTGTGCTGAGCTGATTGAATGCGCACTTCCATTGACGAAGTGTTTAAGTTTTCTGTATATTTCTTTCGGTAGATTGAATGCAGGTGTCGCGGGTTATGAAACTATTTCTCGTTGTAGAATATCTACCTTATGTATTTTGGGTCGACCGTATAACTTCGGTAGTACTGGTTCGTTTATCTTTACCCACCAGTAATCTTTTTTGATCTGGCGAGTTTTCACTAAATTCCTGAGTTTATTTGGATCTGTTTGTTCAATTGTCTAATTGAATTTTATTCTAGTGGTTGATAAACAGTTTCGTTGTTGAGTAATTCTTGCATCTTTTTGACATGGTCTGTTTTGTTCATGACGATGACCTTCTTTCCTTTATCCGATAGGATTGTTACAGTTGTCTTATCAGTCATTAGTGACTTCAATGCGTTCCTTTCTTTTGTATTTGTTATGTGCTGATTTCTTTTGAGTTTCTACAGAAGTAAAATTGATTGACGTACTTCTTATTGGTGCTCAACATTTATTCCTGAGGTTTTCAACATAAACTCTCAAGAAGGTCAGAAGTTTAGTTTCTTTGCATTCCCAGTATTGTAGTTCATTTCCATATGAAGTAAATCGTACTCCATTACGGAGAGTGAACGTTTTGAAAACACACTATCCACTCATCCTTTAATTGCTTCCCTGCTGCCTATGACAGTTTAAGTAGTTTATCTTTTTATTTATTCTTTCTTTTTCTCACCTTTTGTCTTTGTTATATTGGTGGCTGGTTCTAACAAAGATTCTCTACCAACGTAACGGAGTGGAATTTACGGCCAAAGGGGTCAAGGTATAATAAAAATCTCTTCTTAAACCTACAAGTGAACAACACTCAATTTCAGTAATGACACTACCTAATCATTCGTAAAACATTTGAATGTGCTTCATTTCGTGATAGAGTTAGTGAAGTGGATATCACCAAGCCTATGGATCAAATGTCCATGACAAAATACCAAAGTTCAGGAATTACCGAACCGCCATTAGAGTTATCATAGTTATGTAGTTGTAAAATCGTAGTTTTTTCAAGGTAACTTCAATCACTAGGACTGTGAATGAAGCAACTGAACTGCGTGGATATGCACAATTCTTCTTTATTTCATTCTTTCTTTTTACTCAGTCTCTGCAGAACCAATTCTACGTGTTACCTAGTAACTCTGTTCACTGATTTCCTTCCTCCAATCTAGCTTTGGGACGTTTCTCGTAAGGGGTGCATTAATACATACCGGGGTCATACCGGTTGTGTCAATATGATTCGCTTTTCTCCTGATGGAAAATGGATTGTATCCGCTGGTGATGACGGTGTTATCAAAGTGAGTTTTTATCTGGAATTAGATAAGCTACACAAAAGTGTTTGCAGATTATTGTGTGTGTTAGGGTGCTTCCATTTTCTAGTTTTACTGTCATAATTTCTAAAGTAAGAACACTTCTTTAAAGCGTTTAATGTTTCGTTTCACTTTCTATATCTTTTTTTCTCGCAAATTTTCAATAGCTTTATATACCTTGTTAACTGGACACTAAGCTGTCGATTTCAACTCAAAGGATCAATACAACTTAGTATCCGTTAAATGGCCCTCATAATTTGTTTGCACACAACCAATAATTGTTAGCTTGATTTCACATAATCGCTTCATAACACAGTAGTCAAATGCAGATGGGTATACTGAAAGATACCATTACCGATTACGCATTGACTTTCTGTGTAGAACAGATTTAATCGACATGAACGACATTCTTTAAATTAGTCCCAGGTAAAGACGGTACCATTTTAGGGGCTGCTATACTTGAAAGTTCGCATATTGAGGTTAGTTATTTCAAATATTAATGATAGTGGTGAAATGTATTCAGATACTAAGTTAACTGGGGCAGAGGAATTTCTATTAAATCCTTGGTTAACGCGTAATCAGATTATTTTATTTCAATGCAAATCCACCTCCATTGATTTCTCTTAATAGTTATAGTACACGCTTTCAGATCCCTATCTTGACGCGAAATAGTTCATGTGACACCATATATTCTTCCTGCTTCGAAACAACAATGTCTGCTGATGAACGAATTAAAAGTTAAGATCCTTTCTAATGCATATAAAAGGTTAGAAGAGACAAAAGATTTTACAAACCATGATGATTCTAAGCTACTAATCGCCTTCAAAACTCAGCACTCCATATGAACAAAACTCTAAGGGTTCAAAACGTTTAAAATATGTTATCTGGTGTATATTAAGTTAGAAATGGACGTCAGAAAAGTGAAAAGGAACCACTATAAAAAGGGTAGTTTTTATGGTCTTCAGAGATATACACTAACTACTCTCTGCCGGTATTTGGCATGTTACCATTTCAGCTTAGCTAGGCACTGTAAATTAGAAATATTGGAATAAATAAGGAGAATAATCAGCATTACACTCAAAACTACTGACCTCATGCATTGTTTGAACGGAATAATGACTACTGACGTCAGTCACATTACATAAAGCTTACATGACAACATGGTGTATACTGGCAGTGCTTCATATGTGTTCTCTCTCAGTGTAACCGTAAATGAGAATGTATAAATTCCTCAAATTTCAGTTGGTGGGAAGTTTTAGAGATGAGTAGCAATGGTATCGATGATTATTATGAAGTAGTGTTGTTTGTAAGGAGATTAGGTTAAATGGTCTGTTAGTCTATCGATGTTTTTTTTGTTGTTAGTGTTCACCACAACTGCGTAATCGGTTGACTGATTGCACTCTACTTATGACTATCCCTCAAATCCAGACTAAGTGATGATCAAGAATGATCGACTTAGCATATCACAAATCGTACCATTTGATAAAACTGCTCGAACTGTCACCAATAAAACTACTTTATATAAAATATGATCAAAATCTAATCGAACAATATCGGAAGTAAATAAAACTACTGCTTATCTAAAGTGTTTGAAATCCAAAATAATATTCATATAAATCAGACAGCTAGAAACATTTAATTAATTCAGAGAAAAGTTCACCATACAGTCATGTAGAGATAATTTTATGTTTGCTATATCAGAGATGAAATTTTCATCCTCAGAGCTTATCATCTGAATGTACTCGGGTTTCAAGCATTTCTGGTATTCCTATTGGACTCGCACTTGACATCCATAGTTCAATCACAAGAGCGATATCCACTAAGCTAATGACTTATGACAGCCACCTGGTTTGGGGATATAGATTACTACTAGAGCCTAATGTTTTCTATTTGTTGACTTGGATGATTGATGAGAGTGTACCGGCACTCTAGTGAGTTTACTTCATTTTGTTGAACACTTGTTAACGGAGTCGATGAACGCTACTTAAATGCAGTGCTGAATAGTATTATGTTACTTTCGTAGTCATGCGAGGACATGTGAGAAGTTACCACCTAAGGTAACAACTAGGTTGTCTACTGTCAAATTTATTATCGAGCAATTTTTTGGGATAACTGATGAGTTGAGTGGTTGTCAAATAAAGCTGTATTTAGGAATTTAAACTCTCTGTCTGACGTCCGTACAATCGTAAGTTATATGTGTGTTCGCTTCTTAATTATGTATTTCATGTAGTTACTTTTAATATTTTTATTATATTTGTGATTTGCGCTTATTTATTTGTTTCTATGTATCATTCATTACTTGAATGAATGTATTATTCATAGTCGAACAGCATTTAAATATCATACCATTTGATTGTTTGTTGGTCGACTGACGTTGTCATCAGCGTGCATACATAATGCTTGAGGCCTATTACATCCATCGTATCCTTTTCATGCGTTAGTAAGAAGTGTACAAATAAAAATCATCTGTCATTTATACTAAATGCGGTAAAAATGAACTGTTTCAGTAATTTTGCCACCGTAATGCTGTGCTCATATACTTTGGTACAAGAAATACTGCATGAGATAGAATTAAATAACGAAACATCCTCCCAGCCTTATTTAAATCTTTTGGAACCTGACATTCACATACATATATATTTTAGATGCCATTAATATGTGTCCTTATTTCTTGAAATGTGTCACTGTCAAACGAAAGTTATTTTCATTTTTTATGGTGAAGGAAAATAAAGATGGTACCAGAAACTGGATAGCATTTTAACACTGTGCTGTATAAAAATGAATGTGAAATAATATTCAATTTTTCATAGTAAAAGATCAATATCATAGGCGCATCTAATCAAAGACTAAGATTGCTTGACGAATATATATGATGTACTTCAGGATCACTGGTCGTTCAGGACGGGTTTGTAACTATGCGGTTCGGTTGTATGGCAATACAGACAAGAACAAAAATAAGCTAAATTGCATATCTATCTTATACAAAAGGCTGCGAGAAACTGTAGAGGGCTTCTTACTACCTTTAATCCCATAATACCTCATTCCACGGAGTCACGTGATCTCCAGAACATCATCCCGAACGTCGTAATTTATGAGTGGTCGCCTGCCCAAAGTGACTATCGTATATTCAACCTATCAGTGTTTCAACGAATCCAAGCATGAAAAAAATCAGTTAGACAACTTACGTAAAAACTGTCCAAATCAATGCTGTCGAATAACGACTACTGTGCCTAAATGCATGTGCTTAAACTTCAGAGTTACGCGTGTTTACTATGAGGACGACTGCTGCAATACGGAAGGAGATTATTTAGCACGTGAAATCGTCAGAAACCCTGGAGTTGTTGCAAAAACGGTTTAAATAGGCTTGAAACCAAGGAGGATTTCGTTTCTCGTTGTATCACTTTAAGGTTCACAAGGTGTGATTTTAACTACCTATTTGTTATTACACAGTAAGATGTTGTTCACATATTCAAAGAAGAGGGATTTTTCTGGTTGGCATATCTACTGTATCACTGTGTACTTCTATACTATTATGATAGTACACAGTCATGAAGTATTATCGCTACAGTTCACAATTTGTAATACCTAAAACTAGAACACTCAAGGAAAAAAGTTGCATTTGCATTTGTTTATTCCAAGCATGTGAGCAATTCATCCAATTTAAGTAATCCTAAACACTTAAATCAACTTCACTCATAAAAATAAACACACGCATTTTCGGTGGCGTAGTCTACATTGTTGTCACAGTAGCATATGTGGGAGTATTTTTCGGTCGTATAGAGCAGGGGTAAACAATGAGATTGCCATGGTACACTTAACTATCATATATATATATATATATATATATATATATATATATATATATATATATATATACTTTGGAATTGACATCTGAACACAACAACTACGGGAAACCTAGTGGTCGGGTATGTCTAATCAAAATGCCTTTCCTGGAAGTGTACGAAACATCATCTGTGTTCGTTTGGCATTTGCATGTGCATGAAATATTTTCCGAAATCCATTTAGAGCTGCCACGAAAATGTCACTGACGATGAAGCTAAGTAGGTAGGAATAAAGAAGTCAACCAGTCCTGTTAATGATAGTTTGGAACACTTGTAGGAAATGGCTGTATTCGTTCATTTTTCCTGAGGTATTTTTGTAAAAGGCTTTCTTAAGATGGTAATGAAAGCTCCAGGAATCGTGCTGAAAACTGTATCCAAGGCACAGTTTTCTTCGATCTGGTAAGTGTTGACTATGTAACAATCGTTGATGCTATACGGGTGTTGTCGTTGAACAATCTTACATGGGGTGAAAACAGCCGGTGCCTTTACAGCATGAGTAAAATCTGACCTTTTCTTCATGAGGCAGCTTCCTATGTGTTTACATATTCGATGAGTCACTACTTTGGCTGCTACTGGTCACCAACATGTGTCCTGATTTGTTGTGTTAGGTAACTATTTTTGAAGATAGCTACGATAATGTAAGTGTAAAACTTGGGTATTGTGGTAGGATATAATTCCATATTAGATTTTTTTTATATACCGCACGGTGATACAGTATTACCTCCTTGATGACGTTTAAAGCACAGATTATTGCTCATAACCATATCAATGTAATTGAAAAATATCGACAGTTTCCTCACATATATAAACTAAGTAGTAGTCGCAATCCAATTCACTTACGACGTAAAACACAAACAAGAAGAATTGCCTCTGTTGGATTGTAGAATAAAACGGAGAACAGACGGTGGTTTGAATGCTATTATCTACAGGAAACTGACACATTCCAACAGGTATCTGGACTTCAGGTCGTCTCATCCAATGTTTGTTCAGGTTTATTAGTCAAATGTTTAAGTTAGGGTTAACAATTAATAACTATCCTCTACCGTTTATGAAAAAATTCGTACGAACACATAAGAAACGAAATAATAACAGTAACATGAATGCAAATAATAGTGACAACACGAGTAGGAATATAAAAATGAACAT